GTTTATGTGGTTTAAGTAAAAAAACACATTATTTTCCACATACTGTACATTATTGTTTCTCCTCTATGCCCCGCCTCTCTGAAACACGTCGATTTTTACAAAGCTCATCGTTCTGAAAAGCGAGGTGTGCTCTGATTGGCCAGCTATCCAGTGCGTTGTGATTGGCTGAATACCTCAAGCGTGTGACGGAAATGTTACGCCCCTTACCATATTGTGATGCCGTGATCCGGCGCGACGACACAAAACCACTAAAACCCATTATAAACGAGGCATTTGTTGCATCCAGTGGGGACATAATTACTTATTATAATGACTTATACTGTCTTTTTACGCGTTGCGTTGTTAAATACCCTGCCTCCACTACATAGGCCTATGTTTGTCACATCATTATAAGTGTTTGATCACCACATTTGAGTTATCATTGCAAAAAATGTGTTTATGTATATATATATTCTGTTTATGTAGGATATAATATCGGTATATCGGCATCAGCCCCCAAAAAACCCATATCGGTCGGGCTCTAATAATAATAATTAATTCATACTTTGAATCCTCTGTCCTCTGGTAAATATTAGTAATTTTCTGAATGGTTGTCAGTTTAGTTACGGAATAATAATAATAATAATAATTATTATTATTATTATTATTATTGAGTAACAATTATTATTATTATTATTATTATTATTATTATTATTATTATTACTACACAACTTCTACTAATAATAATTATCATAAAAATAATCAATTTTCTGAATAGTTGTCAGTTTAGCTATAATATTAATAATAATAATAATAATATAATTAAAGACATTTATAAGAATAAGAATAATAACTGAACATACAACCATTCAGAAAATTAGTAATATTGACCAGAGGACTCTGTTTAACTCTGTAACATTATAATTGCCTTTATTATTGTCTTTAAAAAAATTTCTTAATAATAATAATAATTTGTCACAGAGCTTCCTTGAAAAAAAAGCAATAAAACTGTTGGCATACAGTAACAGTGTAAAAATACAATTAAACATGTGTTACTTAGTTCATAGTGATATGAAGGATTTGGTATCTTTGTAAAATCTGTGTACATTGTTGAGATAGTTCTCTTCTGAAACTCCAGAGGAAATGATTAAGGTGGTAGAGGGATCTGATTTGTGCTTTCTCTCCTATGGCTAGTGTGATTGTGATTGCGTACCTGTATTCCTTCTGTGCCGGGCTGCTGCAGCAGTTTGACGGTCCTCCTCGTCACCCTCTGCCCGCGTCCTTCATGCCAGGTCAGGTTGCCCCCGGTCCTGCGTGGCAGCTGATAGTTCAGCTCCTCTGCTGAGACCGTGTGCTCCAGCGCAGCCCGACAGAAGCTGAAGCTGGACGCAGCTGTGGAGGACAGACAAAGAGAGATGTTGAAGACTATAGTGTCTACATCACGGCATGTTACACAGGATCACTGTCATTGTTACAGGAAGCTCCATGACTTCTGAAACCTGAATGTCAGTCGCTACCTACTATTTTTATAAACAGTATAGTGAGGCAGTATGCATTACGCAGTATGCAACAGTCATATGCTTCATTGTTGTCACACAACCTCATTAAATTTAACATGAAATTTTAGTTAATCTGATTAAACATTGGTTATTTTGCATTGTATATAATTCTACTAAGTACAAAAAAATTCAATATAGAGATCAAATAATGACACTGGAAATAGAAGGTCAAGCATACTGCTTATATTGACAAATATTGCAATGCAGTAGCAATGTAAAAAAAAATGTAAATAAAACAGGTTATTTGAGCATATTACAAGCTTTAAAATTTCATGTTTAATTCAATGTGTTAATCGCTGTTTTTTTGTAATCATTTGAGATTACACCAATTTTAGGTTATTCAGGTTTACGGATCAAAATAATGTCATGCAAAACATGTAAAAATGCATTACAGAAATGAAAATTACTGTCATTAAAACCTGTCATTAGAATGTCAGTCACAGGTCATTGTGCCATAAATGTCTATCCATAAAAAAATATGGGTAGTACAGTAAAGACATAATACAGATAGTAAAGACTTTTATAATGTTACAAAAACGTCTGTTCTTTTGAACTTTCTACTAAATCAAAGCATCCTGAATAAACGTATCACAGTTTCCACAAAAATATGAAGCAGCACAACTGTTTTCAACAAAGATTTCTTAAGCATATTAGAATGATTTCTAAAAGGATCATGTTACACTGAAGACTGAAGTAATGATGCTGAAAATTCAGCTTTAAACTTTATCAATATAGAAATTCCGAATCACAATAAAGACAACAAATAAACACACAACAAATATAAATTAGTTATATTTTGTATATATATATATCGCACTTGATTCAGGGATGCCTCACAACCTAACAAGTCTACAAAGCAATCTTGTGCTTGAAGTCTAAAAAAGAGAAGAACAGACATCAATTCATCATCTAAGTGGCCATTGAGGGCCAGTCTTTAACCCCAGCAGATCCAGGAGACAGGTAAGATGTGTCAGGTCATGAACCCGCTGAGCAGTCCAGAAGCACTTGGAGTATGTGTGCATGAAAATGTAAATGTAGCACATCAGTATGTCAGTGTCTGTGTGCGATGCCACAACATAATTATCATACACAGGCTCTTCCATACATGCAAATTATCTGCAGAAGACAAACCTACTGTGTACAGACTACCCACTATTTTTATAAACAGTATCGTGATGCAGTATGCACTATGCGTGACACAAACATTTCAATCAGTCGTATGCTTCATTGTTGTCACACAACCTCATTACATTTATTCATCTTTGAATAAAAAATGGTTATTTTGCATTGCATAATTTAATTTTAAATAAAAAAAAGTTTAATATCAATTAATGACACTGGAAATAGAAGGTCAAGTATACTGCTTATATTGACAAATATAGCAATGTACAAGCAAGTGTAAAATATGTTATGAAAATATTTTATAAAATATAAAATTTCATGTTTAATTTAATGTGTAACTTTGCTATTTCTTTGCAATTAATTGTGAAATTTACTTGCAATTTGTGAGTAAAAATGGATTCAAATACAATCCTATACCTATTTATTTTTCATTTAATAATATAATAAACTTTATTTTAAAAGCTGCTTTTCAAAGTGGCGAACACTTAATTTTATTTTATTTTATTTTTCAGGTTAGTCAGGTATACAGGTCAATTTAATGTCTTGTAAAACATGTAAAAATGCATTATGGTAATGAAAATCAGGTGAAAAATGTGCTTACTTGTCATCAAAATCATGTGACAATGCAAAAATGTTAAAGTTGCGATGAAGCGGAAGTAGCAATGGGTATTATTTTCTATATTGTGACATACATCCATTTTGGAGGTAAAAAAAAACTGAACACATATACAGGTGCATCTCAATAAATTAGAATGTCATGGAAAAGTTCATTAGATGAATCATTCACAATAAGATCTATTAGGTCTACATGTATTTACAAAATAAATAGTGTGAATTATCATTTCATGCTGACTTTAATGGTCCTAAAAATAATCTTTAATTACTTAACGGAAATTTTTATTCTATTTAAATAAAGCTTAAATAAAGTAGTATACTAGTAAGCTATTTCGAGCATAGTCCAATCTCTCACTTTTCCCTTTCTACCATTTGCAATCCTCAGCTGCTTTAACCAAACACCCAACTGCAAATAAAAAACTACAGATAAAAGCTTATAAAAGGTCATTGGTCTTTCTTTTCCTTTCTCTGACCTTCTTCTACCTCCGACTCTCTCTATCTCTTTCTGTGTATCTACCTCTCCCAGTTGGCTTTCTTATGTAAGCCCTTTTTCCAGCATTGCTAATGTGAATAGTGCTACGGAGAGTACAAAATATTTAATGAAGGGTAAAAGATGATACCAGCGCATATCAGCACGTAAAAGATTAAAAAACAAGAGCGCAAGTCAGTGAGAAAGAGAAAGAGGGAGTGAGAGATCAAAAGTGAGGAAAGTCTGTAAATAAAACATTAATGGCCATTCACAAAAACTCACAAAGCACTGAGATAGCGCTACACGGCTTGGAAAAAGTTTTGTTTGTCTGGTTAAGCTGGTCTCAAAGCTCTTTGCATAGAGCCTCATTGCGTGAAGAGCTAGAATCCATTGTGTTTCAAACTGTGCTGCAGTCGCCGCTAGCTCTCTGTTAACTGAAGTATTATAAAAGCGACTGTGGGAAAAAGGAAACTCTGGGAAAACCGGCTTGGAGATGCTGACAGCTAAAACAAAAGTGTTTCCACCTATCAAAACTATCCCAAAGGGCAGGTCAAGTTCATAGTGTAATCATGGGGTGATGGGAAAAGAGTGGATCACGGAGAAGTTTGTCAGGGTTCAGTGATGTGTTTTCTCTGCTTTCCTCACTGTTCTTTCTCTCCTGGGCAGACAGGAAACGAAAGCCACAGGCTTATTACTGCCAATCAAATCCATGGGAGGCAAAAATTAGAGCTCTCGACACACTGAGATGGATAAGAAACACATCCCATCACTCAAAGAAAGGGGTGTGGTTAAAGACTGTACAGCATCTGTCAGTCATCCACAGGGGGCTGCGGCTAAGAATGATACTTTCTCTGGATATCCTGCTGGATCTACCCATCTGTCCAAATTACTATGTGTCAGCATTTCAGTTGGATTCAGAGAACACGAATTTCCACTTGACATCCCAGAAGGAGAAATTGGCTGTGTCTGAATATGCCTACTTCCCTACTAGCAGGCCAAAAACCTATGACCTACTATTTTTGAATTGATGCATTCAATACAAATGAATGAATTGGTTAAAAGAATGATTCAATGACTCACTCTTGAACAAACACTGGATATATGACCCCTCTATATCCTCATTCACTATCCCTTACTTTAGTCCACTAAAATAGTCCACTGAATAAGTAAATGAAAATGAGTGAGCATACTACTAGCATATACATACTAGCATACTACTTTTACCATTTTTACTATTTCTTTCTATGGTAGAAATAGTAATAGCATGCTAGTATGCAATTCAGAATTTAGTTTCAACCCCAAATGAATCAGTGTTTTTGAATGCACTGGTTTCAGTGATTGATTCACTGACTCATAAAGACAGTCACTTGTCGCCACCTACTGGCATACTGATGTCACTGAAAAATCCCCACCAATAACACTCACGGCCATTCACATTTGACGACCAGAATAATAAAGGTAAATTAGGGCTGTCATTTTAGCATGTTAATTTAATGAATTAATCACAAAAAATAATACAATTAAAATATTTTAACGCAATTAACGCACCCGTCCCGTCTCAGACCTGTACGTCATCTTACATTTCATAGAGTTGACTGTTGACAAACATGATGCAGGGCAATAACTCACTGCATAATGTAACCTATAAAATGCTGTTATTTGCCCTTAAAATGTAAGATATTGGTGCAAAAAATGCCCCTGTATGAGTTTTTGTCTCATATTTATATCATATGATAAGCGATATCACAAAAGCAGCAATATCACACAAGTGTTGTTTTTGTCCCAAATAGCATGAGTGCAAATGTAATCTTATACAACAGTTCTGTAAATAAGAAGCTAATATTGTGTTATATTTGAGATATTATCTATAAAGCCACAGCAGAAAGACATTTACTGCCACCTACTATCAGTTTTAGTTTCTTAGAGTATCATTTCATTAAAAAACATAATAAATAAATAAATACAAAAATAAATAAATAAATTAGGTTCACCCAAAAAGAATAATTCTGTCATCATTTACTCACCCTCATGTCGTTTCAAACCTGTATCACTTTCTTCCTTTTATGGAACATAAAAGAAAATAATGCAGAATGTTGGTAACTAGAAGAAAGAAGAATGTTGGTAAACAAGCTGATTTGGTAACCAATGACTTTCATTGTATGAACAAAAAAATACGGAGATGTTTTCCAAATTACTTCTTTTATGTTCCATAATTTCTGTTAGGCCGATATAGCCTAAAAGTTTATGTGTAAATACATTTTATGTTGAATCAAATATTTATTTCTAAAGCTTCTTTTTGTAATAACTACTTGATACTTTTCTCATTTAACACAATAATGGCTGTAAATGATCTTTTGGGGGTATTTTCACAGCCAAATTTAATTTGCGATTAATTAATCGCCACAACATGTAATACAGCCCTAATGTAAACATATTATGAATATATAAATAACAGCACGTTTCCTGGAAGATGTAGTTTGTACTATTGGTTTGCACATACATGCAATACAAAGACTACAGTATATTGTTGATTATGGCAAATGGTGATCAAAAAAAGAAAGTCAGATGAGTTGTCTCTCTGGGCAACTGCTGACTTTAATACCATGATGCTGTGTCTTTTTGTCTTT